AAAAAAAAAAAAAGTGTGAAGCGCACACAGTGTGAAGTGAAGATAAGGCCTTCAAAGAGTAAAAACCTTAGACAAGTCAAAAGAAAGTCAGATATACAAGGTTTTTGTCTAAAAAAAAGGTTAACTTACATTACTGAGCTTTTGCTGTTTTTCAGCAACTCATTTCAACTACTACTACACTTCCGTAAAGTTTAGCGATCCAAAGAATGGTGTGGAAAATTTTCTAGTGTCCTCTGTGTTTTTTTCAACAACCATGCTGCAGTGAAAAGCACAACTCACTAATCACAGCAGGCTACTTAAGTTTGTATACTAAAATCAATTCGTTTATACAAAATTTTGATATCTGTCAGCTGATGACATGCGGAAAGTAAAAAGTGTAAATCAGTTGTCAAACTGAAAGCAACACCGAAAACTCTTTCAAAAAAAAGCAAAATACAACATTACTTTCATCTCGTTGAAATAATCGTAACATTTCGACAAACATTTGTTGAAAATTATCACGTGTATGGGAGAACCTATTCACAAAAAAGAAAAGACCATCAACAATGAACCTGCTTGTCTGAAAGGAAAGTGATTTTTCAAATGAATCAATCAGGATTGAAGAGCAAGCTCAAGGCTTTTTTTCAAGCCATGAGTATGTATTTCTTGCATTCTTTGACCTTAATTCGATCTAAAACTAATTGGGAAGAAGACCTCTAAAAACGTGGCATAAGACTTCAATTATTTGTTTAATCACAATGATTCATCAAACCGGTTTCATTGTGCGCAGGACCCTCACAAGATTACGCTGTAAATTCACCTTCTTCAATCGTTTTATTCTCGTTACAGCTACTTCAGATGCTTTGCAGATGAAAACAGCATGTGAGTTTCTAGTCTTCTATGCTTTACGGAGACGAAACTCAGCAATAATAAAAAGTATTTACAGTGAAATAAATTACAAAAAAGAAAAACCCTTCTTAGTCGACTAGCAATTCAGCGAAAAAACTCTAAAGAAATAAAATTAAATCCTCCAGCCCTGAAGCAAATATTTGTCTATACAGTTATGTCCTGAGATCCGCAGACCGCTAAGATTGTCCTTTTAAGAAAAAACTCAGCTCACTGAAGAAACTTTAATACGGCGATGTCCTGAAAAGTCCCTTCCCAGCCAACATACACTGCTGTTACCGAAGGATCGGCAATTCTTGACAAAGACGTGATCGCTTTGGCCAGCAAGTCACTGACGGCTGTTAACTTGTGTTCCTTGAAACGTCATCTACTTTGTTGCAACTTCTGTAAGAACAATTGCTGAGTAAAGAGTTGTTCTCAATATAAAAATTTCCATTTTTCAGCATTAATTCTTCGACAAACTATCTTTCCCGCAAATAACTCGATAAATCACTGACAGTACCGCGTAGAGTCGTTAGAAGTAGCTCTAAAACGAAGTCAGTATCAAAATTTACGCTAACCGCCACAGCTAAGCTCATATCACGGTGTCAAAAGGAAAGTTAAAGCAAAAGAATTTTTTCGTAACCGTTTGACAGACTTATAACTTATTTCCAAGTTACGTACAGCCTGAAGAAAACGAAGAAATGACACAACTCAGGAAGATCTCTCCCAAGCAGTTAATTTTTAAATACTCAATTGCAACAATCGACTAGATTCCTTTAAACGACCTACGTTTGTCCATTTCTTGGATCAATCCAAAATCGCTGAAAAACAGCAGATATTTGCCGAAAAACACTGCTTGACCAAATCATCCGCTGCTACAGCAGTATGGCTAATCAGGAAATTCGCATGCTTTGATCCACTGATACTTCCTACTACATGCCCTGTCAAATTACTTGGAACTGATTGACAAAAATTAAGAATGCTCTAACGTACACTTCCCCATCAACAAGTGTTTGTCATACTAGTCGCCTAATCAGAACCCACTTCGCTTTCAGGACCTTACTAACCCCCAGGGTCGGTACAAAACCGTGATGTATAGTTAGACGCTTTGAAAGTCCTTCTCGCCATGCATGTTAATAGCGATTTCAGCATTACAATGCTAATCTGGTTATATTCTTGTCCCAGGGAAAACCTAAATGTGTTTATCACTGCAGTTAATCCCTCTCTTCGGTCAATCCTCTTGAACATTTTAATACTGGAGGCGCAGTTTTGTGCCAAAATTTGCATGCTTCAACTAATTCTTATATATGACGGCTATGAAGCATTCGCTCTAAACTTACAAACTTTCCGTTTCTTTCTTAGACACTTTCTACAAAACTTCCTCGGGTTCATCTTGTACTTTTTTTTGAGAAGACACGAGATTCATTTGTTCTCACAACATTGTTTCCTTTAACCATTTTAAACGTGCTAATAGAAGATGCCAAGGCAGCAAAATGAAGGCGAAATTCATTGTCATACGTAAGCAGAACAGCCACTGAAAGCTTACAGTTCCATATAATTTCACTGAATTCTTTTATTAATATCATTTATTAATCTCACTTCTTCTTCATGAAACACTCCAAATTATAGTCGTTCAGGTTTATTACTAAATGAAAACGGGTATGAAGAAAAAAAAAGTAGTTTTATGCATGAAATTTTATGCATGTAAAAATGGCTAAGTTAAACACCAAGAAGTTTTAGCGTGATAAATGTTCATGGCAATGTGGCAAATGTTGGCCAAAAAACATTTTCGTACCTCTCATTTCTTCTGTGAGCCTTCTGCAATACAGAATTGTTACCCAAGCTTATCTACATAGGTTTTACCTCATACCATACAATAAAAAATTTAGATCTGAATAAATAGCGCTGTAATGAGTTGGAATCCCAACAAATTATTTTTTAACTACTTCGACAGATGCACACAAAAATACACACGTATCCCTTTTAACAACGTTCCGAACAAACATACAAAAAAATGAATGCTTTTTCAGGAGGTATGATTGCTGACCGAGAACTTTGAAGTCAAGAGACGAATACAGCTTTACGCCATTTTCAACCAAAATAAAACCTAGTAAACTGCCGACACAAAGTAATCCACAAGTTGTGATACGTACCTTAAAAGTTATAATCCTCCTCTAACTCAGAATTTTTTTCATTAAAAAAACATTGAGACAAAAAACACACGCCCGTCGTTGAATAACTCGTAAACACAAAAAGAGTTCCTACTGGGGCAGTTCCAGCTTCCTAAACCTGAAGTTTGACGCCGTCATAACGTGCTATGGTCCCATAATGGAAGTGATGTGTTTAGGTTCTCATTCCTAAACGGGTCTATTATTAGGATGTATTATATAGCCCTAAAACTTAGCATTTCAACTGTATTAGTCTGATTAGGAAGAAACGAGCAGTTTTTCGAGCTGTTCATCATTTTCTGTTCAAGGTCAATGTCACTGTTGCAGTTATGGAAGGTTCCGGTCCACTCGAGGATCACCAAGGCGTTTTGGAACACGAAAAAATGAAACATCTAACTACGCTGGTCTTATAGTATAATAATAAGCAAAGAATTGACCACCTTTATTTTGCTCTCCATCAGCAGAAATACTTGAGACTACCTCTCCAGCTGCAACAGCCAAATAAGGGTTTCATATTCAGAGTCCAAATGCTCCAAGTTCTGAAATTTCTGGCCATTTACAACCTCTCCGATAATTTCCACAAGTGAAAAAGCTTAAGACAAGGCTATTCAGCAAATATCCAGCAAGGCTTCTTGCTTCAATCCTCTAACTGGGTTAGACCAAACTGAGACACTTTCTATCATTATTGGGTGAAACGCTGCAAGCCAAAATAATTATTAATCCAACCTAGTGTTCCATCCCGTTAGCATGTTGAG